TTGGTTCGGTTTTGTTGTTGTTGCAGTTTGTTTGGTTTTTGTATTTTTGTTTTTGTTTGGTTTTGTTTTTGAGGGGAGGTATTTTTAGGGGGGAGGGAGGGGGGGGGGATAAAATCCATACGTGATCTATTCTCAAATGGACAAAAAGGATCTTGAGCTTAATTTTTTTTTAATCGATAAAACTTGACGAACAGACGGGAAATGGTGGGTTTTTTTCCTTTTCAATATTTTGAAGAGAGCCTTATTTTTTTTTTTTATTCTTTTTTTGTGTAATCCCTTGCCAATTTGTATGAGATTGGCGCCGTCTGATTAGTAAAAAAAAAGTTCGTATTATAGTGTCCAATAGTGTATTACGTACATACTTAGTATGACGTGGAACTGTTGCAGATAGTGATTCAAGTATTATAGATGTAAGTCAAGCATCTGAGAGAAATGATACTTTTAGAAATAAAGGTGGTGATAAGTGATGATGTGAGATCGTGTTTAAATAACGTTAGTCCTATCTTCCTCTGCTCCAATGAGTCTCGAGGGACGTGAGCACCCTTCATCCCGTTCGTTCCCTACTGGAACCATCTTTAATGTCACCGTGAAATTCCGAAATAGTGGTCACAGTCTCTGCTAAGGTGGCATTGTTAGTGTTAGCTAAGAGAATAGAGCCTGACTACTGACTACATCACAATGCCACACATACGAGTCCGTTACGTCCCACAAGAGTTAACGTAAAAGGGGGGGGGGGGGTTGCAGCTGAGGGATATTTCGCTTACTTGTAGATCAAATTTTACTACATCCCCCCCCCCCTCCATCTTGAACCTAAACCACACTCGAGTCAAGTCTCGTTCTGTCCAATCATGACACCTGGTAAAGGTTATTGTTAACGTCCAGCTGCCAATGTAAATGTTTTGATGTTGTAAAATTTCGAACTTTCAACGGAACCGGGAAGTTTAATATTCCTTATCAGCGAAATTTGCATACGGTCATGATTTGAATGTACGAAGATGGGTGCAGGTGTTGTTTGCTTTTGTTCTTTAGCTTGCTTTAAATATTGAACCCTTTGGAGACAAGCACTCGTCCTTGCATTTATTGAGAAGACTGCGTCCCTGTCAAATGAAGTGAGAGTTGTTAAAAGATTTCCACAGCACTTTCTGGAGACCCTCCCCCCTTCCTTAACTCTCTCTCTCTCTCTCTCT